GTATTTAGATACAATGCTAGATAATTTTATCATGTCATTATCTATGGCTATTTTATAAAATTAAACCAAAGTCAGTTCTTTCTTCTTATGTTTTATCGCTTTCGCCAGTTACTAGATTACAGCACTGTTTCATACGAAAAAGCACATTGCGCGCTTTTCAATAATTATTTTTTATTCATTGCTTCGGCCATGAACGTTAATACTTATGGACAATCCACTCGGACGTCATCACGATACTTTTCAAGCCCAGCAGACTCCTGAGTCCTCTACCAATACTTAATGGAAACGGTTAGTTTACATAGTAGCTTCGAATTGTTAACACTCTACGATTTGAAATTTATTGCTTTTGTCACATATTTTTTTCGATTTGATTGCATTTGTAGATTAAATGTGCAATAGTGTTTTTGTTTCATAGTTGCAAAGTTGAGTTTTTCTGTCTATGTTCAATAAAAGTTATTGTATTAAAATAGGTTTGCATTGATTTTGTTTTCAAATTTTTTACATTGCCCATTTTTAAAAAAAAATTGTATATTTTTTATCTAAGATTTAAGTTTTATTATTCGTAAACACTATTTCCGTCTTGTATATTTTATTCAGTTTTCTGCTAAATTCTACTGTAAAGAAGGAAAAAATCTGCAATAATAACACTTTTTGTATTAATTCATTTAGTTGTTACAAAGAATACATTTTGCATGTCAGTCGTCCATATATGTGTTTTATTAAATATGGAAATTAATTTAAGAACAAGGAAAGTATAGTTAGAAATATAAAAAATAATTCCTAATTCCCTTTACAAAATAAACTTTAGTTTTCATTATTGCACGACATCCTAAAACAATTCACTTCTAAACATTATATTGAACTAAAACATACAACCAACAATTACAACAAACTTCATAAATTCTATTAAAAATTACAAAAGAAAACGATAAACTCATCAATCTAACCAATAGTTAAGTTTTTTGCCGTTGCGTTTTGCTGAAACTGTTTGACTCAGTGTTGTCATTTTGTCATGCATCGGAAAAAAAATATCATTTACTTTTTTGTCTGGTCAAACATTAGAGTAGAAACTCTTAATACTTTTCTCTTTGATGCAGAAGGATCAACATGGAGACTATCTGAGGGCTACTTCACCGAATCAGTATTTCTAAAATCACTTGAAAACAAGTGTTTATTTTGGTTATAGTTAAGTTTTTGAAAGGCTTTCCAATAGCAAAATATTATAATCTTAAAGCAAAGGAAATTGAAATAAAAAATATGTTACTAATAAGTACTACTTGTATTATGGTAATAGGTGCTATTTTAATTAATACCAAATGTGCTAATAATTACATTTAATTTAAATACTGCAGTGATAGGTTTTTTATAGCTCTAAGAAAGGAAAAGTTACCGAAAAAAGTGATTTGATTAGAGTAAATTTCGTCCATCATGAGTTAACAACGAGCAACAGCATCATATCAAATGATACTGAATATATTTTATTTTTATTTTGATGGGTCTTTTTCTAAATACGCGTTTTGTAAGAACGTTAAGCCATCAGAAAGCTTGATAAATAATAATAAATAAATGAATTTTAATTAAAATTTTTTTAACCTTTTACATACCGACTGTTCAACTAATATTATTTCCTCAGAGTATTGAAATGGGGCAAAATATCTCCTCGTTACTTCTCAGTTCCTGTAATATTACTTTCCATTTATCATTACTAGTTGACAAAACACAATTATTTGAAATTGAGAAGTACTTATCGAAATATTTTTTTTGTTGATATTTCGTCTGAGTACGCCATCTTGTGATTTCATTTCTCAATTCACAGCTTTCTATCTTGACCAATTTTGCAAATAAGTCATTCATAATATTTATTGAAGCATTATTTCAATCAACTATAAAACAAAGTATTAAATGTTTAACTTTAATTAAAATTTTATAAAGTGGGACATCATTTAATGGGACAGAAAGGTTTCGCACATTTTTTAAAATTTGTTTCTAAATAATTTGGTCGCCACAGGGTTAATTGTTTTGGTTCAAACCTTTCAGTATTGTAAATCATTTCGTAGAGTAGATTCATACCGTAATAGTTATCCTTTACATTTTCCCCTGCGCGAGAAATGGATACTCAGTTTGTATCAAACAAATTAAAGATAATTTATAGGATCTAAACATAATTATCGGTTTCTAAAATCATTAATGGTTAAAAAATAGTCCCAATTCTCAATTCCCAAGTGACTTTTCTGGAATTTCTCTAGACAATCTGGATTGTTTTCTTTTTTAAAAAAATTCCATAAGTTGTTTGAAAGGGAGGAATTTAAAAATGCAAAAATGCTTAGAGACATTTATGAAAAGTGTGGAAGAAGCATATTGATGAATAAATTCCTTTATGCAAAAAAAAAAATTTGTTGTATTTTATTTTATTTCAAAACGAACACGAAATACACTGTTTTAGAGGTTATATGATCACTAAAAATAAGTTTTGTTACTGTGAGAACATCACCCCATAGGCCTATGTTAACCGGAAAAAATTAGTTTTTAGTGACTTTTTTCATTCCGATCGACCAGCTGGAATGAAAAACGGAAATTTAATTCAATGAAACGATCTCATTAGACTTTTGCACAATTCGTTTAAGAAAGAATTGAATAGTTATCACACGAAATAGTTACGTATTAGGTAATTAACTACATTTTAACAAAAATAAATTTTTATCTTAATTTTTGCATATAATTTCACTTAAAATTCAATTCCAATACTTTTCTCAGCAATTTTAGTACAATGTGTAGTAAATTCTAAGCAATATAAAATATCCACAAGGAGATAATTCTTTTCCTAAGGGCTTTAAAACATTAATCTTAAAATTAGTCTTTTATTTTATTTTGTCCCTTTAAAAATTCTGCATAAAATAATTTTTTATTTGCTCACGAATAATTAATTTTTTTTTTCATGTTTCTTAACCACATGCAATATCCTGATTCATTTCAAATAACACTGAAAAATGTCAACCGCATTCTGCTAAAGTTTATGTAAAAATGTACAAGCGTCATTCAACTCACATTTCCATTGCTTTGAAATGTCCATATCATGATGCTTCATTATTTATTTCCAACAATTTTTGGAAGAGTTTCTTGTCTTTCTATATCTGCCGTTACCAGAACTGTATTTCGGCTGTCTGAAAGTAAAATAATAATATTAACCTCCTTAAAAAAGATTTCCCAACCTTACCAGTAATATTTTCATTAAAACAGAAAATAGTGATTCCACAGCTTTCCCTCTTGCTTCAATGAAACTTAACTGGAATCATACTTATTTCTGAGTGTATGAGAAATCTTTGGCGCACAATAAACCTGCAGATTCGGCTGAAGATCTCATTACGTTATGGTTACGTACTAACATATACACTCTATAACAAAAAAAATCGACGCACCAAGAAGGAGTTGTCCGATTGAAACGAAAATTGGTGGATAGGAAGACAATGTACAGAATAGTAAATGATTAAAATTTCAGAACAATTGAATAATTTATTGTAAAGTTACAGTAACAAGTTCAATAAGGTGTTGACCCGCCTCTAGCCTTGATACAAGCTGCCACACGGCGTGGCATAGACCGATAAAGCTCCCGGGTGGTCTCTTGCGGTATTTCCTTCCAAATTCTATCCAATTGTCGAACGAGGTCATCAGCATTCCGTGCCAGATGCAATCGCCTTCCCATCATATCCAAGACATGCTCGATGGGAGAGAGATCTGGTGATCTGGCAAGCCAAGGAAGAGTTTGACAAGCTTGCACACAGTTCATAGCAACACGTGCCGTATGTGGTCTGGCATTGTCCTGCTGAAAAGCCATCCCAGGGCGCTGCAAAGGGAACGGTAGCAAAACAGGTCTTAGGATGTCGTCGACGTACCGCTGTGCAGTAAGTGTACCTCTAATGACGACCAAAGGGGTCCGGCTGTTCAAGGAAATGGCACCCCAGACCATAATGCCTTGTTGAGGGCCTGTGTGGCGTGCAATAGTGAAGGCAGGATCCCCCCTCTGCCCAGTGAGTCTCCAAACACGTCTTCGATGATAGTCAGGACACAGTTGGAAGCGGGATTCGTCGCTAAAGACTATACGTCCCCAGTCGGCATCATTCCAGCCTGATCGAGCCATGCACCACTGTAATCTGGCACCAAGACACAATCGGATGATTGCTTCTAGGTGACGCGATTTTTTTGTTATAGAGTGTAATTTTGAAAAGGAGCGGATAGTGAAATTTTCAGCATATTTATGTCGAAATTCCTGCGATTTCACAGTTTCCTTTCTCTGAAAGTTGAAAATGTGATCCTACGTCCTAGGTTAATTATTAGTCAAATTAATGGGTGCATGGGTGCTACTTATATGGATTTACATTTAGATATTTTGCATGCTTATCTATCTATTCATCTATCTATATCTATCAGCGTGTGTGTGTGATTACCAACGGGTTGGAGTAACATAATGTTTATCCCATTATCTATAATAAGCTTTCTAATTTTAACCCGGAAATGTCAGAGTATATAATTTTCGATTTTTCGTTTTTTAAATAGCAGGGTGAACATATATAAACTTTTTGCAATGGCTAAATACTGACAATTTGTTCTACTTACTTATATTTGACTTTTCACACCCTATCTTAACCCTTAAAAAAATTTTTTTTGACAAATGTAAATTTGATGAAATGTAAATTAATTTTATGTTTAAGAGAACTAACATAAAAATTATCAAAACATTTCATTAATTTTGCCTAATTTCAATATTTTCATTCCTGGATATTTAGATTTATTGTTTTAGTTCCTGATAGAGATGGTTCATATAGTTTTCCACAGTTTACGTTTTAAAATACTATCTTTCATATATTTCATACTTTATAAAACTAATTTTTAAATAATGTATACAAATAAAAACAGCTTGCATAAAAAATACAAATAAATGCATAAAAAATAAAGTAAGCTTAAAATATTTAAATGTAAACTGCTTTCACTGTTTGTTCACATACCTCTTCTCGGAATGAGTCTGGCGTTCCGTTCGGTAGCGCGAGCAAGCGCTACTCTTTCCCGGTAGGATATCATCAAATCTTCCTCTCTGAAAAGGAAAAGAAATGCGTATAAGTAAGTACTGTGCATATATATATATATTTATATATA